TGACAGAGGGGTCAACGCACTCCTCAGTCTTGCCTGCCTCACAGACTTCACAGAAAAACATCTCTGCCAATACGACTGGAGTGCTTTGCAAAAACTTTCCTTCTAAATGAATCCCCGTCATTTTTTAATAATTAATAAAAAGTTAATTAAACATCAATAAATCATTACTTCATTAATTTTGGGACATTTATTGGCTTAAACAAACGGGAGCACTGCCAAGAAAATGGAATTGCTTTACACTTTATTTAGATATTAAGGCAGTAGGGTGGAAGCCTTCTGGATTTCCCCCAGCGTATTTATCCCCTTCAGTAATGTGAAGGATAAAACAAATGCAACAGTCTTGCAATGCTTCTTTGCAGGAACTTGTGTTGGATTGCATTAGGTTGCACAGGATTTACAGGTTTTGTGTCCATGTCTTTTTTGCAAGAAGCAATGGTTTGTACAACATTTAAATAAATGTGTGAAAAAATGTTCACTATAGGAACCAAGTTGTGAACTCAGTGGAGACTAGGTTTAATGCATCACTGTCGATGTGTTGGAGTTATCTTTATTACATGATCATGTGTTGTAGGCCATGCTACTGAGTTAATCATTGAATTTGTTTAAAGACATATTTGTACCATGAATGTACACGTGTCGGTTTGCAGCATGTTATCTAGCATAGGGTCCTGTAACATGTGATTATATAAGGTCAGAAAGAATAGTGTTGCGAACCAAAGTATAGGAATTCCTTTAGAGAATACATGTTTGAAATATGCAGCATTTTATACTCAACAAGCAGCATTCACTCCTAAGGTTGTGGCAACATTGTGAAATGTATTAAAGCAGATAAAATAAAGTGATTAATAATGTTTATGGTTATAAGGGGTCTAAAGAGGAATGAGTGGGATCTACTTTCTCTCACATGCTACGGAGGAGAAAACAGACAGGTGTGGTCTCTTGACCCTGAGCTGAAGGAAAACAACGAGCCATTCAACAAGTTTTGCTCCACGCCTCCTCATTCCACCGCATGAGCGGTGAGATGAAGCGACAACTGTATGGCTGCTGTTATTGTCAACTGGATAAAATAAAAAAAAGATGTATTCAAAAGAACTACAAAATAAACAACAGACAAAGGGAGTGAGTGTGTAGCCTGCGGGAGGAGAGGAGTGACAGTGAAGTGACAGACTAAAATTAGATGTTATTCTCTATGGCCCACTGTATAGGGGGGAACTAAAAAACGCTCAGCTTGGACACACACACATGCACTCTCAATCACAAGTAGAAAAGCATGAAAACAGTCTTTTATGATCGTATCACAAATGCCACCATCAAGGCTGAAAGCTAAGAGGAATCCAACTTTGTGTGACCTAAGAAGGGAGACATAGAGATGATGGTCTCAATCCTTCAGTATTACACATTCACAGATACAATGTCCCGGTTTCTTCTCAATCCTGTAGGGACCCTGAACCAACAGTGACCAGCTTCAACAAAGAAGCCCAAAGCGCCACCAAAGGTTAACACTGACAGGAGCTTTAGGACCACTTTTATTTCATTCCCCATCCCATCTTTTCGCATAATCTCACATCCATCATTTTCCTCCATGCCTGTCAGTTTGCATTTCAAACTAAAGCCCCACTGGGTCACTGTAGCCCATGGAGACCCGCACACACTCGCAGCAAATATCGACATGCATATGTGACCTGGCTCTAATTCATTCATCCTCACACACACATATGTGCTTTTACATACATGTGGTGCAGCAAAGGTCACACATTCAGTGTTGGGCAGTGTGATAATGCATCAGACTTGGATAAACAACTGGTGGTGAAGGTGGCCTCCTTTCCACAGGCAACTGGGAACTATTATCTACAGTCAGTGTCACAAGTGAATAAAAAGCTTTGTTCTTAAGTGTCTGTGTATGTCTAACACACTATAGGATCACATTATCTGTTATATGGTGTGTATTTCTACATATATGTGGAAGAGCTGTTCACCAAATGGTAAGTGTGTTGTTGAAAGCCCTGCAGTTTATGATCCATGGTTACTATGTCGTTTTTACAATTTGTGCAGCATTTGGTAATATTAATCTAAGACGATATTGTTAGTGTCCATCATTTTGTGGGGTAAAAAACATTGAAAATGATAAAAAATGTTCAGTTTTTCATGGCACTAATAAGTTTATGAAGCATTATGTATACAATTATTTTGTAATGTTTTCTTACATTAGTATTCATCATACGGCTATTGTGTGTGTGTTTGTGAGTAGAGGTAATGATGTCACAGTGATGCAGCTGCGTTCTGGTTGGGAGAGCGCCATAATTCTCAGAAAACTGACGGGAATACTGCAGCAAAACGTCAGGGGACAGCTCTACTGCAGACGTACGCCAACAGCTAATCACAACCTCATATTGAACACACACACACATACACACCCTTCCCTTGAGTACCTACCCCTCACACTTTAAATTATTTATTTTAACATCACCAGGGGAAATGCCCAAACAGCAATGCATGGAACATATAGCACACTGGCTACCTGCTGAAGCCTATTTGTTAAAACTTTTGTGTATCACCGAAGTTAACCAAAGAGGCACTACTATTACTGATACCATGAAACCTGAATTATTTGTTTCCACTTTTCTTTTCAGGTCCTGAGTAATGAGTTCCCATGTTGAATATTACGGGGCATCAACCCAAAAAGCCGCTATAAGATCAGTAGGTGGCGTTATCTAGACACATTCACTCTTCCTAAATGTCGTCCAGTCGAGAGACCTGATTTTACTGACATGGATGTCACAAAGAAATAACAGTTTGGCCTTATGGAATTCCAAACTGATCTGACTTTATATTGTAAACACAAACCACCCAGCAGCCCTAATTAAAACTTCCAAAAGTACATATACATAACCCCTGACAGGCAGCCCCTCTGGTCCCACACATCATCTCCACTACACTAAACCGTAGCCTAATATCAGCCTTAACACTAATCAATCCCTGGAGTACTATCAGTCTCTTTACAGACGCACTGACGTGAGCTGGAGCAGGGAAATTAAGACATTCTAATAAGAAAGATGTCATCTCCCATACTTTATAACATCCTCACATTAACATATCAAATGGTAATTCTATCAAGTATGGATAAGGCTTTTCATTTTTTGTATCTCCTTTTCTTTTTATCTCTGGGGGACATTTTCAACTTTAAGGAAATCAAAAGCCTGTGTGAGACAAAATATTTTCTGTTATTATTCAACGGAGAAAACAGATAGCATCTGATCTCTGTCGGGTCTCAGAGAAAGAGAGAGAGAGGAAGAGAGAGCTTTGAGGAAAGGCACATGCATTATGTTCACAACAGATGAGTGCATCCAAACATACACCATCACACATGAACTCACACACGTAAACAAAGATGGGCCAAACACGCCCTGTTAAATCCAATTAACCCTCCGCTCTGATCCCCTCAATGCATCCCTGCTCCTGTCTTGTAACACCAGACCTTCCCGCCATTTCATTAACACACACACACACACACACACACACACACACACACACACACACACACACACACACACACACACACACACACACACACACACACACACACACACACACACACACACACACACACACAACACACACACACACACACACACACACACACACACATACACACACACACACACACACACCACACACACACACACACACACACACACACACACACACACACACACACACACACACACACACACACACACACACACACACACACACACACACACACACACACACACACACAATTGTAATCCAGTCATAGCCCTGCTAATGCACCTCCTATAATCCAATCAGCCAATCACTGCCCATCATGCAAAGGACTGTGTCACATGACTACCCGCACGTTAGCTCTACGTTCGCTGGCAGTTAGCACTGTCATTTTGCGCTAATGTTATTCCAGTTTTTCTTTAATGTGATTTGGGAAGTCTCAGCTTCGGCTTCCATGAGTCTAGCGCTAAACCCCTGGTGGGCTCGGCTAATCAGTTTCCAGCATTTCGGAGGGAGACAATGATCCCGGTGTTAGCGCTGGCTAATGACAAGCTAACACAATTAGCCTTGCCTCCCTGGAGGAGAGCTCAGAGCCAGGGCCCATCTTGCCCCACCTCCTACCGTCTCTTCATCCACTTTTCCTACATTACTATGGAGCCTAATGGCCTCCTATTAAGGAGACAGATGGAACACGGATGGAGAGGGATTCTGCATCCTCTTAGGTTACACATATGTGTCGGAGATGTGCTACACCCATGACTGCTTGGTTGCCTATTACCTCCTCTGTTAATAACTACAATGAAGTACCCATTCCTTTTACTGAAAGGTGTGTCTACTCAATGTGCTTCCAATAATAGTGAGTGTAGCACTATCAGAGTCAGGATCATACATTCCCTCATGGTGCTGTAATGCAATTTGAATCAAAATAGATGTAAAATACATCATTACAATTATTAGATTGCAAGTGGTAGGTCGTTTCTATTACAGCAAATGAGTCAAACCTATTTAAAGCCAATGTAAGTTTTATTTTCTGCAGCACAAAGGTTATCTTATGCTTGTGTCTTAATGTGGTATAAACTGGTTTCATAATGCTGTTTGACCCATGTCTAGTTGAAAATCAGAATTAATAATATTCTTCTAACACAGAAACATTAAAAGGGCACGAGAAGCACCCTGTCAGCTATTATTAACATGCGATCAGCCTTATCAGTGGACAACATCATCAACATCAGCTAATGGGCCGTGCTAATGTGATCCTGATTGAAAGACATAGGTTAGTGGCTAGCATAATTCAATACTGTATTACTATTCCACATGGACTTCTTATCTTCTATGCCAGGGAAAAAATGGGATTTTTGGCAAAATAAATAAATAAGCTAAGAAAAGCAACAATCAGAGTTCTATTTTTGGCGGTAAATGAAAAACTGTTGCGAGTTAAAACCCTTGATCTACTTTGGATGGACAGTGTTTAAACTCACCTGAACTTGGCATTCACTTGGTCGGCAGCTTTATGGTAGTTCTCTGTGGTGACCTTGTAGAACTGAGCACTCTGCAGAGACACACAAAGAAAGCCAGTGAGTAAGATAAATGCATAAAACAGTGATTGTAATCTCCCATATATAAAAGCCTATCCTATTTATTCCCATCTTCCCTGCTCTCAAGTTAAAAGCTATTTAAGCAAAAGGAAACATTTCAGCGAAGTGATGCATCGTGAAAGTTCTGTCTTCAGTGCAGCCGAGCCTGCACAGCCCTGCCTCATCTACCACCACTCAAACTCCATTACATCTTAGTGGAGAGGGATATTAGGGTCTTTTACCAGTTCGCCTTTTGTCCACAAATGGAAGCTAACTTGGTCTACAGGTTGAGAGTGGGAAGTATATGCTTGGATGTATGAAATCGGACTGTGCATCTGTGTGAGTGTGTGTTTGTGCTTATCCTCTCTCAAACGACTGCGGTAATAACAGGCAGCAATCCTATAAGGTCAGAGGGTCGCTAGTCAACAGCGTACAGACCACCAGTCATAAGTCTCCAGTGACCCATAGCAAATGAACTCGTAGCTGGACCCCTGAATCACCTCTTCAAACACTGCCATATAACATAGCTCATACACCATTTATACTACTCAAGAAGATCTGGTTTGTCAGCCCTCAGTGGCTGTTATGCACATTTATGATCAAATGGTGAGAGGTGGTAAAGTGTGATGGATGGCTTGACAGAACGTCCTATGAGGTTTCGATCCAGGGGGAAAAAACATGCAATGTCTACCAATGCCTTTCTGTCAGGTACTCAACTTGAATGATAGTAATACCTCCATTAATACCTTCACTTAAAAAGTTCACTTCACACAAGCAGAACAATATTTTCTTTACATATTTGACAGTTAAGGTTTTATGCCGTTACCTGTTGGGTTATTGTTGAGTTGCAAAATCAATACTGTAGGATTTAGTGCAGAGAAAGTTGGTCCAGCTCGCTGGTTCTAGGGACACATTTTTAAATACGGTTCTATCCCGTCTATGTATTGCTAAAAGAGAACAATTATTTGTGAGCTATATGTGCCTTAGTAAAGGCCTGACAATAACCTTAGGCTTAGTATTTGTCGTGCACAAAGCACAGAGCCCAGGAGCCAGCCAACCCATCAACATTACTGGAAACCAAACACTTCATCATCTTGCATAAATTACAGATACAAATTAGAAATGTGACAAATTAAGCCTTTTGGTCCCCAACTGCCCTGACTTAACCTTCCAGCAGGGAGGACATTCATCATAGTTCAGAAAAGATCAATAGGAATGAACTGCACTGCTGAAAAGATCAATAGTTGTGTGTTGTAGAGCTAAAGGAAGATGGGACATGACAATGCCGACAAAAGGTCTGATACACATTTGAGTCCTATTCATTTGGAATGACAGTAAGGGTTTGCAATGGATTCAGAGACCTTTTTTCGCATGCTGTATAGTTACAGACAAAATCATTTATATTTCTGACATCAAAATGCAAACTGCTCTCCATAACAAAACACAAAAAAGGGTTTTAGATATCAAGATACATGTACAATATATACTTCATCGACATTTCAAGTCCACATGTACATAATGTATGCCTATGCAGGGTCCCATGTCCCGTGAGTTAAGTCATGCTCTCTAATACACCTCCCATCAAATTTAAGATGCACGTTCAGGGATTTGTTTGCAGAAGGTTTGATTGTGTACGGAAACGTGAACAATTTTAAATATCCTGTGTGAAATGTATAAACCAAAATAATTTGATAAAATATAAAGGGGTCTTAATACTTAACAGATCCACTGCACTATCCCTCAGGCAGACATTAGTTTGTATGTTAAACCCAATAAAGAAGTATGTCCAAAGTTTAAGAGTTAACTTGTAAGCTGCTGTTCTATCTGTGCCCTCTTGGCCTTGAATCAAGTGGTTTTCAGTGTAGACAAAGAAACTGTCAAGAGCTAAGAAAAGGATTTCAAAGAGAAGCTTATTCACAGATAAAAAGACTAACTGGAGATTTTTTAGGTTGCTAAAGAGGCAAGAATAAGACTTCTCCTGGGTGCTGAGATTGAACCATTTTAAGGGAAAGAGAGTCGGAAAGAGACACATTTGGGTCTCTGTTTAGAATACTAAGTAGGTAATAATACGCGCCTAAATGGCAGTGCACACATACGCCTGGAAAGACAAAAAGCCATGTGTGACAATGATAGCAGTACCTTTCAATACACATACTCACAAACAATGCACGTTCATGCTGAGACCTACAAGGTACAAGCACAAGGTACTTACACACATGTACACATTGGTACAAGACAATGACTTAAACGCAACTCGCTCATTCACTGTACAGAGCAGTGAAGAGTGTGATTTGTGTGATTACTGAGTGTTGTCAAATCATGATTTCCTGCTGTTGCCCCAACTGATTTCAAGAGTAGCCCTGACCTTTTTGTTAGCCCAGAGAGACGAGACTTGGTTAACACAAGTCTCACAAAGAGCTTTTTCGATTGCTCTCAACCTATTCTTTGTCAATTGACTAACAAAATGTGTAGCAACCACAAACTTGTTAAACAGTGTTTCTGTTTGTTTTCATCCTATTGACTCCATTTGTTTTCACTAGGTTTCTGGCTCATCTGGAGCCATACAAAATGCTGGTGGGGGGTGTCTCAGACAAATTAAGTCATTAGTGCTAATGCACTGCAGCGATATGGAGAAGATAGAAGATGCACCCCAACGCAGGCCCCAGCGCAATTTAGAGGAAAAGCCACACATTTGTAATGAACACAACAAATAACTCCCTGTCCTGATGGTTCCTTTCTCTTATCTGCTGCTGAGCAGGAGGGCCGGAATGGGGAGAAACCCCACCATGTTCAACATGTTCTGTGGTTCTGAAAATAAGACTTCTGCTGTGTCCATACACCATTGCACAGTGCAACTTGCTCAGAAGGAGAGCCAATAGGCAACAACAAGTATTTATTGGTTGATAAATAAGTAGCTTAAGTGATTACTTGTGTTTAGCTAAGCTAACTGGCTGCAGCTTCATATTTAGCATAGATGAATATTTCCCTAAATGTTAAATATATATTTAATTTGACTTCTTTAGTTATTGTCCTTGTAAGCCTGTGTAAAATGAGTTCAACCCTCATTTATTTTTTCAATGCAATACTATCCAAAACAACTGCAAGGCCTAGAGACTATGATTAGATACTGTAAATCAACAGTCTTTTCTTAAGTCTTAAGAAAACACTGAGCACTTTAAGCTCACATTTCAAAAGTTGTATCTCTACATTATTATTTTTGCCTCTGGATCATCCCTGCTGTGGGATTTGTTTAAACATAAACAAAATGTACCTCTCTGTTGTTGTGAAATCACCACTCTTTGAAAAGACTACCCATTGAATCCCATCATGCGGCTGTAACAGCAAACAGACCATCTCCAGCGACTGCATTGATCGCCTCATGGTGAGTGAGAATTAAAAAAGATGTATTAACTGCTACAATACAGCAGCAAGACAAACCATAAACACCTGTTTTCAGTTTTGGTTACATTTGAACAGACAACAAGCAAAAAGAGACAGAGGGCAATAGACTGAGAGGGATATAGAAATGACAGACATAGGAAAAGATGAAGATACCAAGACAGAGATAGAGAGATAGAAGCTATTACTGGTTTTTGTTATGCTCTTTCCTCTGTATTTCTTCCTTTCACAGAGCTGTGGAACTTTGCTATGAGATGGCAATTGCTGCAGTGATTGTCCTCCATGGGAGAGCAGAAAAATCCAATTTCATCGATATACAAGGCGAAAAGAGAGATAGTAAAAAAAAAAAGAGAGAAGAAAAATCCTTACTGAAAGAAATGAAATTGAAGCATGGAGGGGAAAAACACCACTCCAAGAAAAAAGAAAGGAAAATGGAGAGATATATAGAAAGACAGATGTGGCGAGGAGGGGGGGCTGGAAAGAGACATGGTCGAGAGAAAAAAAAAACATGGGCTAGTTGATTGTTAAATATGAGATTGTTTTACAGCAGGGCAGGTATTGAGTGAAAATGTAATAAATATATAGATATTGTTTGCAGCGGTTATTTGGTGGCTGTGGCCCCAATGAGCGGCGGCAGCAGCAGAGGGCTGAGCTGCCTGGGAGCCTGGTGATGGCCTGTCACTGGAAGCCCCTCTGATGAATGGCTATGTTGGATTGGAACAGACATGTAATATATATCAGACTGATATTTCTCTCTCCGATTCCCTTTTTGTGCTGGTGTGCACGATGCTGTGGGAATCCTGAGGCAACGGGAGGAGTGGAGAGAGATAATATTAAGCTAGCAGTACCCTCCAAATGAAATCACTACAGCTTTGTTCACTGCCCACCCATACAGCATCACCTGACATGCTCAACAATGTCAGGCAAAATAGTCTTGAACTATATATATCCTTGAAGTGACACAAGAGTCTACTTTATGATTGTTCATAAGAGTTTATCATGCGGGCATACCCTATTTCAACACCCTCACACATTTGTGGGTGCTACAGACTATTGTAAGACAGTTTTTTTTCACACATCATCAGTCATGAATATTTAAATCAGCCCTGTTGTGATGACGATGGTTTGTTTTGGTTTCACAGTTTAATTATTTAAGTTCATATAAGAATTATGCATGACATACAGTACGAATTTGACCCGGATATGGATACTGTATGTTTGTTGTCCAGTTTTTCTTTACAATTAATTATCTGTCTATTTTCATACATATTTATCTGTTTGTAAGCTGCATGTTGAGCTTTGCTGAGCTGTATGTATCTTCCTGTTAATTTGCTCTCTCTACTGTCTATATATATTTAGCTTCTACATCTGGAGTGGACGTTACTAACCAAGTGGGAGTTACAGTGATTATTACAGAGGTGCAGAACATGCCAAAAACCCTGACTTTGGTACACTGCTGGGATTGTGTTGGGTGAAGGGATCAGGGACTGATGCAATGCTGAGAGTGTCAAATGGGGCACTGTGGCGGGAACATGAAAAAGGAGCGTTATTAACACAGTCCAAACAGACTGCACCCCCTATGGAGTCCCAAGCGGCTCGCTGCACAGTAAGACAACATGCCAGCAATATGCCCACCATTGATCCTCACTTACAAGCAGAATCACACATTACGCACACATGGTCGCCACTTCTGCTGTGTTGTGTTTCCATAGGGCCATAAATCTGATACAATTAGCAAATAAAAAAGATTTTTGGGAATGATTTTTTAATTCCTACTGTATGCAGGAATTACAAATTAAGACACTGTTCACACTCCTGCATTGAAAATTCACTGTCTTACAGGACTTACAGCTTTTGTTTAAAATGTATTCAGTGATGGTTGGAGAGCTGTTTCAACCTTTCTTTTACTCTTGTTCTTTATCATTCAGTGACATTTGATCTTTTTCGATACCACTCTGTCTCTTTCTTTGACTTTAGTCTTTGTCTAGTTCTTATCCTCACTCACTCACAAATGTCACTTTATCATAATTCCATGTGATACCTTCGGGGTACAATTCCAATTTGTCTGTCCCGTCTCCTTTTCTATCTTGTCTTTCCTTGTGTCGAATTTCTAGTTTCCTCTTGTTTCCTCTAGCTTCTGTCTTCAATACAGTATCTCTTTACTTGGCTCCTCATCCCTGCCTTTCTTTCTTTCTCAATCTTCTGCCCCTCTCTGAGGTGTGAAGGTGATTTGTTGACACTTTGATCTAAGGAATATTGACGAGTGGCCAACGTGAGTGATGGATGGTCAGTGCCTGAAGTCGATAATGCCTGTGTAAGTTGGGACTCATCGCTTCTACCATCAGCGCTCACATCTGCTCCTATAGAGGGCAATTCAGCCGAGGTACACTGACCGAAGACGCAATAACACAACACTAGTTGAAGAGATGAAAGAGAGGCTCAGGTATAAGGATGGATCTCCAGGGTATTAGAGCAACAAGAGAGCATGCCTGCTTTAGGTATTTTGCCATGCCGTCGACCTGCTAAGAAAAGTCGGTAAAGTTGTTTACTTTGCTAATGATCCATCTCTTAATTCCCACCTTCCCCTAATGTCAACCAATGGCTTCTCTCCTCTCCGCTGCCCAACCAGAGTTGCACAGACCAATGCACTTCCAATTACTGACAGAAGTCCACTACCACTCAATACCCACTGGCTTGGCTTAAGTATTCATCCTCAGTGAAGGAAGGACAATTTGTGCGCTCTATTGACTCGAAAGGTGGACTGTCTTCTTTTATTTAATGGTAACTAATAAATGCATACTAACATATTAAAGAAGCATGTTTAATTATTATGGGCTGCTTGATCAAACAGCTCAGAAGACGTTAAGTAAAAACAAAAGTATATTTAATTCCCATAACACTGATGTAATAATTAGCATCCTTGGATTCCCGTAAGTTCCTAAGAACAAGAATATGTGAGTGCCTACCTCTTTCTCAGTGAATATCTGGCTTCACAAACGTTGTAAAAAGTTAATTTTGCTACCACTATAGGGAGCATTTGACTTTTTGCTCTCTCCAAAGGGGATAAAACTCCTTCCCAGCATGACAGCCTCATTTTAAGCACATTCAATTGGGCGTTGTATCCTTCCTAAGATACACGAATGATTTGAGAGCAGCATGAGGGCGTCCTTCTCTACACACGTTAAAAGGGCATTTGACCCTTGTTGCCCGCCTTGCAGGCGGACGCCTTGGTCTCCCTGGGACCAGCATGGAGCTGCGATTTGAAGTTGGCATAGCTCGGCAGCTGACCCTTGTCCCCCTCCATAGGACACTAGTTTGACAAGGACCATCAGGGTAGTGTCATTTCCAGGGACAGAAGGACTCACACAGGGATGAATGAGATGTAACCCTTTATCCTTCAGGCGGAGGGTAGAAATTAAAAGAAATAAAGAGCGCCAGAGAGCAAAAAAGCAGCAGAAACAATTACGGAGAGAGCAATGCAGACCACACTGGGGAACGCATGCAGAGTTAAAGTTGAGGGATGATAACAAAAACAGTAGGGCAGGGGGATGAAGAGAAGGAATATATGTGAGACTGTACTTAGGCTGAGCCCTGTGGTGACCGAGCTCTCTGTGAATGCTGGCTGAACTGTGTGCATTATTATGTGTGCACTGCTATGTGTCGATTCAAGCATTAAACATGAATAGAAATAGAAACCCCAGGCACATAAACCAGAGCTGCAGTCCATGATGCATATTCTTAAAATTAGTGATGATGTAATCTTGCTTGGTGGCTGTATAATGCGGTATTGAGTGTTTCTTTTGTCCTCTGTTGTAAAATGGACAGTTTTCTTTTGCTTTACTTTTTGTGTCTTCGATCTTTGTATTTTCTTAAATGTTGCGGTTCAGTTTTGTTTTATTATTTACCTTTTTAAATATCCTTATTGTAGTTACTGTCTGTATAGAGAAAAACTCTGAAATTAATTGATTTCCATGCAAGGTTTAGTAAACATTTGTATGGTTCTACATAAAGCATGTGCAATGCATTCACAAGAGCCTGTCAGCTATCAGTTGGTTTGTGCCGTCTAAAAGGTGTATCGACATTCCCAATCTTAAGATCACAACCCTGTAATAGGAGACTGATTTACCACTCTCTGTAGAACCTGGCAGATCCTATCTTTGAAAGCTGGGTTACAAACTAATATTACCAGTGAACATAAAAAGGTCTTTTCAGGTTGATGTATGGTGAAAAAAGTGTCTTACCCTCTCCTCCAGCCGGGTCACCTGCTCTCTGTAGAAAGCATCCTGCTTCTTTAGGTCTGCTTCCCTGGCCCCCAGCTGCTTGGCCTAAATACACACAAATGAAAACACACACAGAGATATAAATACATGGCTCCACATCCAGAATACATTACATATGTGCTCAGTGGAGCATTGACAATTTCATCTAACGGATCACCTAACGCACACATAAACAACTATACACAAGAGAGCCAAATAATGAGTTTATATTAAGAAGAGACATGTTATTATAACACAATGCAGGCCTTCTGTTTATGGACTATACTTAGGAACAATGTGTGAATGATTTATATCGTATAATATATATATATATATATATATATATATATATATATATATATATATATATATATATATGATGATGTGTGTTCTGCACCTGCCAGCATGTACATACGAGGTATATGACGGGTTTTTGCACCTGGGAATATGTGCACATTTTGCCTAAAATGTTGAAAACACACCCGAGTGTGAGAGTGATGATGCCTTGGCTTGTATTGTATGTGCTTCTTTGTCCTCTCCTGTTCACTCTTCAGCCAAAGCACTATCAGGCCAAAAGGATAACATCAGTTCTCAGCACGAACCATGGTCTGGCGTATATATCTACCCAGAACTACCAATCTCCACTGTCCTCCCCTCTACTGTGACCTTCACTAAACGTAAGGCTGCTTCTCCGGGTGATATACAGGACAGATAAGACCTGGATGTATCAGATCCAAGAGAGGAAAAAGCAGACCTTCACACAGGGAAAGACGGCAGTGACTCTAAATTAAAATTAAAAGAAGTTTAATTTGTTTTTCTAACCCATATTTCTTGGATTCATGGACTTGTTATTGGGACTTACTAAAGAGAAACCTTTGTGGTATTCTTAAAAGACGTATGTTATTAAAAAAGGACAGTTAACTCTAGGACCTAGTCAAAATCATTTGGTCTTACAGCTCCCTACTGTTAATAAGGCCAGAAAATAAAATTGCCATCTTATCTATAATTCTACAAAGCATCTGGAGTTAGAAAGCTGTAAAAAGGGAACATTAAAATATGGAGCAGCTGAAATACCAGGTGGGAAAGAAAAGTAATATGTCAGAGAAGCTGAAAGGGGAAAAAGAAACCCTTGACTCTATCCTGCAGAAACAGCGTGAGAGAACTGTAGAGTATGGGAGAAGAAGGTAAAGACCTCTAGACTTACCTTCAGCCCAATCTCCTGAAGAAAGGGAGGCATTGTGGAAAAACAAGAGGGGAAAGCAGAGAAAGAGTGTAAAGAGGCACTGATTCATCCATGAACTTCTTCAAAGTGACATTTGGAAAGGTTTAGTATTCAGGGGTGACTGGCTGCCACACTGTTCTGCCTGAATACTCACACTTCATACCCTCTATCTCCTCTTGCACTGGTCTATACACACACACCAGTGCATACACACACACACAAGACATGTATGGTTTACGACTACAAGTGATTTTTGTATGCACACATGATCAGTTACATACATTAAAACTATGGAAAGCAGCCATGCTTTAAAGCTTTTGCTTCCAGCACTGAGGGTTGTTGAAGGAGACAGAGAGTGCATGAAGAAAATACTATGTATGGGAAAAAAATTGCATTACCCCATCCAATCTCTACTACACTGATAACCATCTGCTTTTGGCGACTCAGTGCACTGCAGGCGGAGCTGCGTGCTCTATGCATTGTGATGAGGAGTGTCACCGAGGGGCTGTTCTCAAATCAGATGAGTGGGGGAAGTTTCAAAGTCAAGGGGATGCTCTAAGCTTACCCACTACACACAAGACAGAAAGCTACTCACACAGACAAACACCTGCACAAACACACACACACACACACACACACACACAGTGACATCATGTCATCTACAGACCAAGATATAGAGGAACAACGCTCCACTGCAGCACTTTATCCAACACTCAATGAAGCAACACCATGACCAAGTGGCTGCTGTCTCTGCAGTCCTCAGCACAACCTAACATTTACTATTGTTGAAGCCAGAAAACTGTCTCCATTTTGTCCCCTTACATGTCTTGGTATTTTGTAGCCAGTGTGATGCAAAAACCTAAAGCTGCGTGCACTTGATCGAATCAAGTTGAACTTGAACCAAAATAATGGTGCAGGGTGAATGAACCCTGAAGTGTATCCTTAAAAGTATGCAGTAAGTACATAAACTAGCACGATCATGACCTTAAAACGTGTTATCAATTCAAAGCATGTCGAGGTGCCAAAAAACTGTCTCACACAAACAGCTCAATTTAAGAGAAAGAGGAGAGGGATGATGGGATGGAGGGAAACACAAAGAGGAGAGGACTGGCAGGGGGTTGTGTTCCGTCTCAAGTGTGTCAAAACGAAGCGTTACGCTGATAGGTGGTGACTTAAGACTTTAGCTTTGCAGAGAGACAAAAGATGCTCACAGACGCCGGACACAAACAACGGCTTAGACACTGATCTGAAACGCACACACACACACACCAGCCGGAGCAGCTGTACCCGCAGAGAGCGGGTGGAGAGATAAATGTGTGCTGAAGGCGAGACTAAAGGGGTCATTAAAAGAGGAGAGGTTGTGACAGCAATGTGTGCCCAGGGATTTTGTTTTCTCGCTCACTTTTGTGCGTCTATGCGTAAGTCTATGCATACACGCAGCCGTGCATGTGTTCAATTTCCATGCAAGCAGGTTGGCCCTCCTTTTTGAGGACGAACACAGGCCCAGACACACACACACACTGTCAGGATTACTTCCGACTGATTAACCCTATTCAGCAGACTTTAAAGATAATCTAATCGTACTAAAGGCCAAACAATAGCACAGACTTCACCACTGCCCATACACCTTTTGTTCCCCTAATGAAGGGGCGGTCACGGGTGGAGGGGGAGAGCTAGGGTAAGTGTGGGAGGTGGTAGAGGGAGAGGGGGGTAGAATCAAACACAAAAATTGAACAAAACTTGAGCGTGGAAAGAACAGAGAGATAAGACACAAAGAGAAGGAGAGGACAATAAAAGGTGATTTATCAATGGAGGTGTCAAGAATGGAGACAGGCTGTTAGATGGAGCCAGGGCCAAGTGTATCTCTTTAACTAAGAAGTTCAAGAGTGAGTATGATAAAGCACATAAGAAGGATTAAAGCTAAGTGGAAGACACAGGAACAAAACTCTGACAACTGTTTTAGCTTTGAAATCCAGGATGATTGCTTAACTCAGAAATGGCTGTCACTCCCTGTTCTGATGAACAGTTTCCTGATTTTGTGAGCAATTTCAACATTTTGCTGGTCCAGAGGAGGATGTCATTAATTTACCAATTTTAATTCAGCTTGTTTCCGAATTGTTTCCAAATGTTTCCGTGCAGCAAACCATGACACAAAGAAAAAAAGTAACCCAGTAAAAAAAAATCTCAAACACTGCGCTGACACTAAGCTTCAGTCACAGCTATCGGTAGCTAAGATTAACAAACAGCAAACTTTGACTACCCCCACTCCTACTTTGTATCCATCTCCCCCTGGTCTCTTATTAAGTACAGTAGCACAATGTCTGAGGGTGACAGGCGGTGGAGAGTGGGACCGTGGTGGTCAGATTAAACGGATCGTTTAGGCAAGGTGAACGCCTCTGTGAATATCAATTAGCCCAGTGCTGAATAATTAAGGACAGCCATGTTTTTTAATTAGGCGACTGCCGCAGTTTGAGCAGGGAGTGAGGGCGGAGGAGAGGAGGAGCACATGAAAGGAGGATGGAAGAGGGATGAAAACAGGTTGATTTTTGCTGCGTCAGGCCCCCCCCACCACCCGCCTCCTGTTCTCTCACCGATTTGGCTGTGTACACTTTCTTTTCTTTCACACCTTCTCTCTGTTCACTTTTTTTATCAAGGGACTTCAATTTAAATAGCTTCTGCCTGCAGCATTCAGCAGGCTTAAGGCAACTGCATATGTGAGTTTGCACTGTGTGCCTATATTCATGACTTCATACATTTATATAGATAAAAATGACATCATATTCGCATATTTTTCTGTTCAACTTTTTGTAAAAGAACTGTATACTTTCATGGCACAACAGAAACAAAACCCAAAGAGGCTGTCCTAACAAGATAAACGGCAGCATCAGTCATTTCAGCAAGTACTCCAAAATGAAAAATGTTTATGTTTTATGTGCCAAAGCCCTCTAGCAGCAGTAGGAATTATGACCAGAGTAAATAAGAACGTCTGTGAGGTTGTAGAACATAAAAGTCTGGGTCTGGGTATTTATTTGGGGAGTCCTGACCCCAGTTTGAGAAACATCAAATGTATCTTCTCATGACAAAATTAGATTCATTACAACCCAACATCATACATTTAGTCAAGCCACAGTTTACTGGGAAAAATAATCAATTTATATATTACATTTTTCATTTCACACCTCAATGATGAAGACCTCTGTATTGTAACAATGATGGGATTCACTGTTACACTGTGCACCAGCTACATGCTTATAAATCATGCTAGATGGAAATAATCTTGCAAGATGCCATGATCGATAGAGCACAAATCATATCTCATCACATTAACTAACATCACCTCATCCATAATAACCTTGGGCTCTTTTGTCTCGCCCTGCCACCATCCGCTCGGACTCTCCCCTGTCACGAGTTGCATCATAATCAATGCTCCCTCACACCATCCGAGTGAGTGCCGCAGCACGGCGGGTCAGAGCCGCTCACCGAGGCTCATCTATCACAGACCTGCGCGACACGGCCCTGTGACAAACTAATACTGAAGCAGCGGGCCTCGGGTCCTGTGTTCCCCGACATGGCAGGGAGGGGGTCAAAGGGCATAGCAATGTGACCGTGCTCTGGTGTTAATTGGCACACCGGAGGTGTAGGTGGTGTGTGGGAGGTTAGAGATGGATGCAGGGAGGGGAGGGGAAGTTCATGGTGTAGGGAAGATGAAAGGTAGGGAGAGAAATGGGTCAATGTGTGGCTGGAATATGGATGATAGTACAGTTGGATATGTTTGACAGTTGTTGGGAGAACTGTCATATCAAGAAGATAGGAGAATACTTTAAAAGAGGGGTTTGACGGAAAACACTTATATTTTGCAGCCGTAAAAGAATATATAGAAAGCTCACACGTTCACACCCAGAACTGTTTAAGACACACTTCCCCGACAGAAATCTTGGCACATCCTGTAACTGCCTCGAAAACCACTGCAACTCCATCTTTAAAAGCAATCACTGGCAGATCAAATCTATGTGATGGAGTGTAAAATGATATCACCTAACACAGACCTTACTGGCAGTATTACTGTATGCATTACCCTTAGAGTCACTAATAAAACAAGTCCTGGTAGCAGTAGCTGTAAAACTCCATCGGAGACCATTCACTTTGCTGGGTAATTAGAATCATGGTGTTTCACTAAGCTGCAATAACACTTAAGTTCAGGGCTAGCTATTAGTCTCCACGGGAGGCGGTAGGGTCGTGGGCGAAGTATTCGTGTCAGATATAATGCGGTCAGTTTATGGGCTTGATAACACTAAAGAACAAGAAACCGGCAAACACTAAGAAACTTTTCACTTTTTATTACTAAAAAAGAGTTCAAATGCTTATTTTCAGTTAGGCCGCTGTGTTTGGGTTTGTCCAATACAATGAATATTAACATTGTATTGGACATATATCTACAATATTGTCTTCTGGTCATGACAATCATTTTTTAAATAATATTTGAAATGTGAATGAATTCTTATCTGATGTGGATGAATTAAGGTTGTTTTGTTGACTCTTGGCCAAACCAGACTACCAAAGAAAATACATAAAACGGAGATCAAAAAGAGTACAGTTGATTTGGCTTTAGTTTGAGGTTTTCATTGCAGGGAGAAAAAGAAAAGTGCAGGAGTTTGACTTGCAAGACGCTGTCCGATTTCAAATCAGTTACTGGCACCTCACACTGCTGGAACTGAAAGACGGTGCGAAATACACTTGACAGCATGGCCACCCTGTCACAACAAAATATATTGCACATTCTGAGCACCTATTTACAAGGATTTATTTCAGCGCAACTGGAAAACGGTTACAATAAGACCAAAAGGAGCTGTGGTATCATTAATCATTGAGAACAAGCTGGCTGTGGCTAAGATGCTCTGACTGAAGCAATTATGACCAATATGCTGTAAGAATTAGTCTATATTTGGACTGTTTTGTGCTCTTGGTAATGTGATGTGACCGGTGACACTTGCTTCTGC